AAAGAATAAGTTTTAAACATAATCTCTTGTCTGCTTTTGATTTAGTTTTCTGTGTGAATTCTATTTCAAATTACATCGCTTATATCTTGAATCTTCTGTGTGAATTTTCCTGATATAATACTATATCCAATTCTTCTTAGTGAATTATCTGGATATATTACATCACGTAACTAGAAAGATTACAGTCTTACAAATATAGAATTAATCAGGCCAGTCTGCGATAACAGAAACTGTGAACTTGAAAAGATATTCCTTCATTAGCTCTTATTTATAAATAGTTTGAAGTGAATCTAAATACTCATTAATACTCTTTAAATCACATTCAATAAAATCAAAAAGAATATAGTTTTTAATATATCATTCACTTTTCTTCCCTACTAATTTATCATTGTAATTATGTAAAGTAAGCTTCTTCAATAATTTAATATCAGAATATTCTCTTTTTATATAATTTTTTATATAATGATAATAAAAAATATTAAGATTTATAATAAAATACTTATCTATATTTCTTACAATTAATTCTTTATTAATAACTTTGGGATTTAGTACTTAATTATGTGATATAGTCAATGTTAAGCACAGATTTACTAATATTATTACTATATAAGTTGGTAAAGATGTAGTTGTAGTATGAGATTTATGAGAAATGTGAATATTATAATAATCATCAATATTAAGTATAAGAGCATTGTTAAAATGCTCTATAAGATTATCTTTAACATATTCTTCATATATTTCTGATATCTTCTTTTTTTATGATTTTCCATTCTTGCTGTTATAGATATATTAATCTTTATCATAATATTTAAATTCTCATTACTTGTTCCTGCTAAATCTAAATAAAATACAAGATTTGACTTAAAAATATTAATATATATATTATTTAATGAAGCAAGAAGATAATAAATAAATACCATAATTTTTTTCATACACTCTATAGTTTAATTATTACGTTTTGATAGATGTGCTACTAAATATAATTGATTAAAGAAATAATTTAAGTTAAAATCTTGCTTTTCAAGTAACTTCCATAATTCATCAAAATTATAAATAGATTTTTGTTTTTCTATAACTTCTCTATTATGAAGAATTTTGGATATAGATCTTATGACATCAATAAGCTCAAAATTATTATTCATTTTCTTTTCTATAATATCTATCTCAGTTTTTTCTAAAATTTCTTTGTTAGTAAAACTTTTTTTCCTTTTAAGAGAATTTTCAACATATTTTATATAACAAGAATTACAGAACATCATGCCTATACTCCAGTTTTCTCTTATCAAATCTTTAATTTAAATTTCTTGTCACTTTTCATTACCTAACTGTCAAAATTTTTTTGAAGTAGTCTTCTTACATTCAAAGCATTTCTTAATAATCGAGTAATACAAGATATAAAAAATTTTTTTAATAATTGTGTAACATTAAACGAAGATCTACATAAGAGGCGCTGTCTCTGCTGAAACAGATCCAAATCACGCGTTTAATGATTAATTCGAAAAAGAGCACGAGAATGATTTTAAAAAAAATTAATAAGGAATACGTTCGCCATTGTTTTCAATAATAAGTTTACAACGCTCATGGACCTCACTAAATTATTGATAAGACGTTGGGGAATCTCCGCCCATTCCTCCATAAATTGCTCCAATTGCGAAATATTTTTTGGTTGTCGTATCTCTACGTTCCTCTTGACAATACTCCATAAGTTTCGATGGGGTTCAGGTCGGGACTGTTGGACGGCCAATCAATTACTCCCGGGAAGTTATTTTGAAGATATTCTTTCGCCACACCACTTGTGTGCTTCGGATCGTTGTCTTGTTGGAACCGCCAATTGTTTCTTAACATGTCTCTGATCTCAGGAACATGTTTCTTTAGGATATCGACGTAGAAAAGACCGGTCATATCTTCTCGGAAGCAAAAAAGACTCGTTTTTCCTTTTGTACAAAACCCGCCCCAAGCATTAATTTTTGTTCGGTCTTTTGGGATGCGACGAACTGGCCGTTCACCCTTGTACCAAACTTGTACAGTGTTTCTGAATAGCCGAAAACTTGTTTCGTCAGAAAATACTTTCCGATTCCAATTGTCATTGAGGTGATTTTGAGTGAGTTACACCAATTTGATTTTGAACGACAGACTTTTGCAACTGTAAATCATATTCATCTCTACCATCATTTTTTCAGAGCACAGAATATATCAGTGAATACTTTACGCGTTTTCTATCAGTTCTATGTATAATACTATGATGCTAGATTGGATACGCGATAATCTAAAAGACCTAAAGCCGAAAGACTTCTACCAAGCGTTCAACTTCTCACACACTTCACGAAGGTTTGCCGAAGAAAAATTGCGAGAGCTCCTCATGATAATCAAGGATGGGAGAAATAGTTCCAATCGCAATAGAGCGATTTGTCTGTTAGATTCTTTCGAGGTAAATGGGACCTTCGCCACTAGCTGTTAAATGAATAAGTTAGCTTGATTAAATTGCTTTTTTTTGACAGGCGTGGACACGATCCACCAGTTGCGAGTTGTACTGGCTAAGCGCTATTAAATCTCTTGGAGAGATATATCAAGAGATTCTTGCTTAACAACCTTTTGGAATGATTACTTTCTCGACTTTTGGATTACTTGCTTGTGATAATGCAGGACAAGAAATGCATATTTCTCTTTTGGATCTACTCATGCAACCTAGATTCACTAAAGATATTGAAATCAATAATAACAGCTTTACTCGACAAGGTGTGTTTATATTTTTTTAGTCGCAACTAGATAGATCGCTGACTGATTACTTAACGATTTGATCTTCACAGGCAACACACGAAGTTATAGGACGAAGCTTGGCATACGAAACAATCAAAACAATTAAAAAGTTCTCTAGTAAAATAAACGAAGAAGCATCGCTAAACGAATTTTAACTGCCAACAAAAAAGATTAAGGAAGATAAATCCGAACAACAAACCCCGGAAAACAAGGTATTTTCTATTGCTTAAATAATAACCCGCAACAAAATACCTTCTCACATTTCAGGTATACAGATAAAAACATTCAGTGATGAAGACTGATAAACTACAATTTTAACCATTTTTTCATAGGATTGTAACGATGAGATCAACGATTTCTTTGACAATTCCTCTGGAACTGAAAAACAGTTGACAAATT